CCCCCCCGCCGCGCCCCCCAACCCGGCAGAGCGTTTCTTTGCACCCGAGTAACGGCCCCGACGGGCGGTGGCCGTTGCCCCCGTAAGGATGGCTGCTCCCGCTTCCTGCGGCGCAGAACGCCTGCGGTCGTATGCTTTCTCATAGGTGACCTCGCACCCTCGCCAAACCGGACTGGGTTTGGCGCTTGTGGTCTTGCCCGGGGATCGAACTCCCGAGCGGACTGCTGCCTGCCCGGGAAGTACGGACGGTAGCGCAAAGGGGAAAGAAAATACCGTCTCAAACTTTCAGATACTCAGACTTTCAGACACGCAACTGTACAGCGTACAGGCTTATTGTTTAAGATAACTAAAAAATAAAAAGTACAAAAAGATACTCGGAAGTTTTTAGAAGCGCACAGAAATCACTGCTACAGAAGAAAGGCTAACACGGAAGGGAGGTGACACACAGGGCGTGCAGTTGCATGGCATCTTAAGACTGGCATCCAATACCTTCTTGTGTGCAAAAATACCCTTCTTCATGCAGTCTTAATTTCACAGTAAACTGTCTGATTACATGTAACTCATTCCTGTTGCGCTTTTCAGCTTCCCAAGATCAAGCTACAATTCTTAATTTAATAGGCATTGCCTTTTAGCAACTGTAGTGTCTGAGGGGCTGAACAGTTCATGTTGGAGCTAGCAGACTGAAATCAGTTAAAAGAACCAGGTACATTTGCAGTTGCTGTACTGGCTTATACTTTGGGTGCTGCAGTTCTGCCATAAGTCATCTCTAGCGCTGGTGGTTTCATTGGCCAGTGCTTTGCACCATGCACATTGGTGGCTCTAGGCGATGAATTTGGAGGTCATGTAGTCTATGACACCATAGAAAAGCTGCTGGTTTATCTTTGTATTACCAATAATTTCTGCTCATAGCAGTGAAAATAGCACTACTACTTTTATTAGATGTCTGTGGAAGTAGCAGGAGTGGTTGTAACAGGAAACCATCATTCGCTTTTAAAATGAGACCACCACCCACAAAATGCAAAACCCAAATACCCCTCAACCCACCTATAGTCTTCCACTTCAACAGAGTGAGAAACTCTTAAGGAGGATTTCAACTGAATACACTGGTTAAGTTCAGTGTTCAAAGACTTTATTCATTTGTCCTGTGATGCACAAAGCCCCCTCCTCTGCTGGTTTCTTCTGGCAAATATTTTTCTCTTTTTAAACAGGTTAAATACTTTGATAAAAGAAGAGACTTTTTAAAATATAAAAAACAGCTGGAAAAAGAAGGGTATCATCCTCCAGAAGCTGCTGGAAAGTCTTAGGTACTCTGCTTTCAAAATAAATCTAATCTTCCATCTAAACGACAGAAGGGAGAAGCATGAGAAAGCGACAGAAGCTGCTTCAGCTCAAGAACTGGTAACCTGTCTCCCTCCCTGAAATGCAGGCTGCCTGTATTGTTGCATAGTATCATGCATCTGTTGAAAAAAAGATGGTCACGGACTACTTTTTCGTAAGTCAAAGAAACATGGTGCGGGGCTGTTCACAAATCTTAAGGTTTTGAATATGTAATTAATCAAATTGTTTCACAGGAAAAAATTAATTAAGCATAATGTACATATTCTAAAGAAAACAATAAAATTGTTTTTCAGTAAGTGAACCAGTTTTTCCTTTTAAAAAAAAAAACCATTCCAACTTCCCCTCCTTGTCATAAGGAGGTGGCGGTATAATGTAATCTGTATTTGTCATTTATCAAGTATTTCTAAGAATTTTAAAATCCATTTTAAGTCAGAGATCAGTTTATAAAACAGCAAGCATTAGAAAACCTAATGCATCCTGTGCATATGATAAAATAAGTAAATTATGTGAGTACACTCTTTTATAAGCAATAGGAATTTTTACCTTAGAGGTAACAGTTTTCAATCAGTATCTCTGTTAGAAATATGGCAGTTATCCATCGTGATTCTCTCATTATGGCCTTTTGTGTAATTTAGCGGTTTTGATTACCTTACTGATGCAACTCCATTAAAAATACTGACTTGCTTACAACAGGATTAGTAAACTTGACCATGGAAAGCATTTAAACAAGGGGCAGCACAGGCAATTTTTAATAATGTAAGTGAATTTACCTTGCAAAGTTTATATAAATCTAGTATACCTAGGTGCTGGAGGCATCAAGTACTTTACTCTGTCTGCAGTAAGTTTTGATTATCATTATAGGAAGGCACCACTTCAAATACAAGCACAGTCAGTCATAAAGTAAATGCAGTAAAAATCCTGTGCTTTAGTTTGGGATTGTTCATGGTACCATGCTGATGTTCTACTAGTAGAAAAATCACACACACGACATGCAATATAAATAAGTATTTATTTCCAATGCAACAGTTTTATTTAAGGAGGTAAAGTATTAAGGCATTTAAAAATCAGTCTGAACTACAGAGGACAAAACATGCAAAAGTTAAGAATCCTCATTCACCCTGAGTTTGTATCTCATCTATTCAGAATTTCATGTAGCACCATAGTAAGTCACCCAGCTGGACTGTAAGGCACGAAACTCTTGGCAGTTATTTTTCTTGTTTTTGCTTGATAACTTGTTGCCTCGTGTACTCCCAAATCAGCAGAGCTCCACTTACATGAACATTGAGTGATCGAATAATACCCTGCTGAGGAATTTCCACACAGACATCCAGGTGGTGAATCAAGTTTGCTGGGATTCCTTCATGTTCATTTCTAGTAAAGAAGAAACAGTAACTTGTATCTGGGAAAAGATGGCTGTTCCAGAAAGCAAAAGTCACAACAGCATTAAAAGACTATTTGACCAATAGGTACATCTGCCCTCAATATAACTAATGAGAACATGATTTTTTTTTTTTTTTTTTAAGCAGTAATATGTTACAGATACAAAGAAACCATGGGAGACCTTTGATGTAGGAAAACTGGTAGAGCACTTAATCTGTAATTCACTGGCCCAACAATAGCTAAACACCCAACAGGACTCTGTCTTTGCCTTTATTTTGCAACTATCCTTATATAGCAAAATAAATGGCTATAGACTAAATGACCAGGGCATGAAGCTGCTGGCACAATGGGGAAGCTCAAGTGCCCACTTTACATTCAATGAATACGAGGGAACAAGTGTCAAGACTGATAGAAGCCTTTGAACCGGAAATGTTTCATCTCTGCAGAATGAGCACACCAGAAGATACCAAAGATTATCCCTAATTAAAACTGTGTTTTTAATTAGAGGAGAACAAAGTGATTATGAGAACTACATTCTGAAGACAAGCTACATATAAAAAGGTTTGAAAAGCAGGTATTTCTGCCCACTTTGTCCTGAAAGGGTAGAGAGAGACAGGCCCTCCCTTCTGGTCACACTCAGTGGCCCAGCAATTCCAGCAGCTTTCTGGCTTGTAGGCACTTTCCTCTAGATTTCTTGAGGTAGCCTCCCCTTTGTCACATCTGAGGCTTGCCCGATTATAGGAACTGGTTATTGCTTTTCTCTGAAGTCCCAGCCTCTGCTTGTACTGCAAAAACTTACTACTTCGTCCCGTGCCTCATCCTTAATTTTTAAAGCATCTCCCAGCTATGCATGCTCCCACTCCACTCCAGTCCTCCTTACCAAGTTAAGCAGGGCAAACAGGCAGCCCTCCTTGCTGAGCCCGCCAGAGCCTACACATACAGTGTCCCACATTGCCGAAGTGAACAGTTTATATCTCTATCACACCTGGAAAACTACAATCCATGCTGTTGCTACCTCTATCCATTAAAAAAAAAAAAAGAAAAAGAGTTGTAGTGTATGGATCGGTTATTAAGTATGGGGAGAAGGATCGTTCAGGAGTAGGTACCAGTACCTCCCACTCCTTAGCACACAAAGCCAAGCTCTGCTGTTTCCATGTTCGCTTCCCATTCTAAATCCACCTTTACCAGTGTCACTTTGTTTTCCTGTGACTGAACTCTGACTAGTAGAAGGGATGGACTCCAAGAGGTAAGACTTAAAAAAAGCGTGTGTTCTTACCCCAGCAATAATAGTGACTTCTCTGGGAAGCAGTATTCTGTAAGATCAAAACTTTTAGCTGTCTGCTCCACACCAATAATAGTGTAGCCTTCCGTTTTTTTCTGCTGTAAATAATCAACAAGCTGAGATGGTTTCACCTGTCCATCAAAAGTAGAGAGAAATATACAAATATTTAAGAACTGCCATCTGTAAACTTCTGAAGTTACCATAAAAATAAATTTAGTTGGACAGTTTTTAAGATGAATGACTTTTACCCCCAAAGACTCTGTCCACGTGCATAGTGTATGATTTTAAAAGCTCTTCAGCAAAAGCACAAAAGGTTAAGTAATGTCACAAGCATATTCCACAAATAAAATGAGCAAAGGCTTTTCTATGCTTCTGACAGCTACAGACCTTACATGTGAATGTAAAGGACTCACTCTTGCACAGGGACAAGGTGCACAGTTGTTACTTGACCTGGAATCCCTTCCCAAAACAATACAACAGCCAGTATCAAAGCCAAGTTGCCTTACATGCCTGCATTACAACTTGTGATAGCTTGCAGTGAAGAATTTCTTGGTGGTCTTCATCCTACTCTCTGCTTATTTGTATTACATGCTTGGCACAAGTTAGCTCCAGGCAAACTCAAAAGATTATCCCCATGAAGTTTCCAAAAGCAATGGACCAAGCAAGATAAATGTTGTTCAACTTTTATAAAGAAACATTAAATTCCAACACACCGCTATAAAAGAGTAAGATGTAACAATAACATAATCAGTTTATGACAGCAATAAGAAGTTACAAGTACTTTTAAAATTCTTTTTTATGAGGCTGACATAGAGTTTATTCCAAAACAGTCAGGATTAAGTCTCAGAGATAGCAGCAGGGGCTTGTTAAATAAAAAGTTCATTTTACAAGAGAAAAAAAGACTGTACTATGCATCTGATGAACTGAAGATGTACAGTACACTTCTTAGCTATTAAAATGTTTCCATTCACCTCAAGAAGGGGGAGCCACTGCTCAGCAGAAACACTAAGATGCTGAAACTGCTTATCCTGTATATAATGAAGACTGCCGACAACTAGTGCAGATGCCCCAAATATTTCACTTGTACGACATAAACCTACAAACAGAAGAATTAAAGTGATTTTTGTGTAGAAAATAAACAACAAGCCAGAATATTTTAGCAAGTGAAAAAGGACAAAGAATCTGAAAGAGAAATGGTTTCTTTAGTCCTCCTTTTTTAATCAGTTTCAAGTGCTTGTTACATCTGTTCAAAGTCACACCTTGTTCCATGTAATTTACCAGAAAAAAAAAAATGTTTTGTAACTTAGCAGAAAGGTAAAAATTAGAAAGGCACTATGTCTGACAACGTGCTTCTGCAATACTAATTTCACAAAGCAATGGGTCAGTGTAAAAGCCCAGGCAGGGATGGGTGGACACATACACATGTGCTTAAGCTCTAAATCCAGTAGCTGTTAAACGAAAGGCTTGAGAGTGTGACACATCACAGCACAGACAGCACCAGCTTGTGGGCTTATTTTTAATTAACAGTCTCACTGCAGATATTTAAACTGCTGACAACAGCAAGCACAATGCAACAAAGTATTTGCAGGATTTACTATATCACAGCTTGCATGATATTGTGAAGGGATACTTAATCATGAATGGGCACTTTCCTGTCCAACCATCATGAGAAACTAGTAGGGCTACAAGATCTGGTTTAATTGCTACAGAAAAAAAAGTAAAGGTGAATTATTTCTTTTAACTGCATACATAGTTGAAAAACTCAACTTCAATAAAGAATATAAAAAACAGTAAGAAACCGAGAATGTACAGCAAAGTTCTATTAAATGAATGTGTGCTATGTACAAGTACTTCTTTTTCTTCTTAAAATATAACTACAGAAGACCCCTTTTACTGAAGCAGGTATTATTTCCTTTGGTTACCATTTTTTTGCAGGATAATGATCTATTTCTCTGAGCAGTACTTAAATAATTTTCTAATTATTGACATACGATGAAATTCATTCTTATTATCCAAGTGGACTCTAAGGTCTAAAATAAAAGTTTAAAAATGTGCAAATCAGCCTTACCTCCTAAATTGGTAGGTTTATCAATAAGCGAAGCCACCACAATCAGTCTACTGTTTGATTTACCAAGTTTAGCAGCACGATCCTGAAATACCATTTCCAGGTCTAAACTCGGAGTACTGTTCTTCCAGGGTATGATCTTTTTCTGAACATCAGTCCATTCTGTCTGGCTATCTGTTTCAACTGAATTTGAACCTGTAAAAACAAGTATTAGTCATATGGCTACGCAAGCAGTGGTGAAACTACTGCTTCAGTAAAGAAGATTGTCTAAATAGCAATACTGTAGACACCATTAGTTGTCTACTCTGCTCACATAGATACAAGGCTACTTCAGCAGGGCAACACAGAGATCAGATTAAATACAGATGTGTACAGCTACTACATACAGATAATTGTATCTAATATAGATTAGTTGTGTTTTACCCATGTCTTGCTGAGACCAGTCACTTGGTTTCAGATCAAGAAGTTCTGTTCGAGAATGATACCACTGAAATGTTGATGGCAAAGGGACATCAGTGAACCTGTCAAATTTAGCGAGCGAGATCCATTCGTCTTCAGCAAGTTCCGAAAGGCGGGGAAGAGTGTAAAATATTGTCTGCAATGTAGCACAGAGTTATTAGCAGAGCACTACAAAAGCAAAAAAAACCCCAGATAATAAATTAACCACTGGTAATTTTATTGCAAACATCTTTTATCTAGTATTCTAAACCCCCTGCATTGTTTTTCTTGGCATTTGATATAGCTTACTAATACATCTCTCGATATTCATCACTTTATAGTGCTATCCCAAACTTTCATAAATCAAGTCTCTTTCTCTCGATTAGAGCTTTTTAAAGGATCTGCATTAATTACTGTTCTGAAATTCTAGAATATCAAGGAATTACTGCTATGCTTCTCAGCACAGAGGTCTTGTGAAAATGTTTTACGCATAACACCAAAGAGTTTTCAGATGCCCTCACAACCTTCTAGTAAAGAATGCAGATTGATTTGATGTCAAAAGGAATATAGTCAAAAGCATTAAAATCTAGTGGTAAAAACCAACTCAGCACTACTAATCTATCAAGGAGGAACACACACCGCAAGGGAAAGGCTGAATAAGATTAAGAGTTTAAAACCCAGACATTTTGTTTATCCCAATGCACCCTGAATGCATTAAATACTTAAGTATTAGCCTTGGCTTTGGTCTTTTTTTTCCCTTTTTTTCTTGTTCAGGATTTTCACTTCCAAATTCTGCTAAGTCATACCTAGCACATTTAAGTGTTCACAAAAATATTTCACAGAAAGTCAGTTAAAAAAAAAAAAAAAAAAAAAGGAAAAAAATTCCTTCTCTGAAAGATACCACTTCTTATGCCAGAACAAATGTACCCCTTTTAACATCCACATTTATCTTCCATTTTCAGCTTAGTTCCTCTATCTCTTATTTTCATCTGCACCCCTATTTTTGCCTGACTTCCCTCAGTATTTTTTCAGCCCTTAGTTATTTAAGCTATGGCAAAAAGGACAGCTGAAGTGCTCTAGGAGTTACATATCTGTATCCTGTTCACATTAAACAACAATATAGTTAAGTAACTGCCAGTCACTTCTAAGAACAAGAGATGTCTCAAAAATCCTAACAAACTACATGTGATTAAGTAGATACTCTTCAGTTATTAGAAGTAACTTTTCCAGCCACAAATACAAAACCTGATTAACTCCCACACAGACGGGCACGTTTGTCACAGGTACCTCTTCTTAATTGACCTAGCTTAACACAGTATTAATTAGAGAATTAAGCTGCAGTCTTACTCTAAAATCCATCATGATTTAGGTGAAGTAATTTCTCAGAGTTTCAAATTAATTAAAGTTGGTCACTATTCATCCTGTATTAGAACACAGGAAGTTAAAAATATAGTTGTAAAAGTATACAAATACAATCAGCAATAGTCTTGGACTTGCCTCTAGATTATAATCCTCAAGTGGATGAAATGTTGCAAAGAAGAAATGATCTTGAATTCGCTGCCAGTTCCTTCTAGCA